TTTCTTAAAAAGAAACAATCTTCTCCTCCCAATTCCTTCACACGGTTTAGCTGAGGTTGGGAACCACCAATCTATGCAGATTGGTTCCAGACTCCTCTCTCCATTAAATAAACATTTTCGGGTCGAAATAAACTGGAAAATCTGAATTGAAACGCGTGGCTGGGACCTGGTGGACTCCCAACTGCAGCTAAAGAAGGTTCAGCGTTTCCGGGCTGATTGACCGAGAGTTACCCTGGATTCCTTGCAAAGCAAATCATGAATAGCCAAGTAGATCATCAGAACACACCACACTGAGCACACACACCCCATTGGCCACTCGCAATGGTGTGCTTCTCCTCGTTTGTAATTTGACCCAATAACCTTCCCACTTCCCCCCACCCCCTTGCCCCCACTCTTCCTTCTTCCTCCCATCCTTTCCCCCTTCCCTCTACCCTTCCCCCTCTCCCTCCCATCCTTCCCCCTTTCCCTCTACCCTTCACCCTCCCCCCCCCTCCACACGTCTGTCCTGTTCTGCACTTGAGGCTAATGCTAAAAACACATTACATACAGATACGTCCCTTAGGGAAAGGCTTCTCTCTCCCCCTCACACACTCTTGAAATTAACCTGTCAGAGCCTGGGAGCTGATGTAAACAGCTATTTCACCCTCAGATGCCATCAATTAAGAGACTTTTTCTAAGGAAACAATATGCCACTTTTATGCCCGTGTTGCTATGGTCTCGTGAGATGCTTCACTGAACTCTGTGCAAAACCACCTTTAGCCTAACAGACCGTTTGTAAATAAAAGCCACACGTTTTGGAGAAGTGATCACCCAGTTTGCTGCCTTAGACCCACAGCGATGGCCAATGTGGAAGGAAACACATTGTTGGCAGGAAGGGAACAGAACAGAAAAGCTCCCTTTCAGGTTTCCTCGTATCAATGAGCCAATGCAGTAAATTGACATCAATCACCCGAAAAGACATGGAAATAATAATAATTATTAGTGCTTTATCACATCTTCAAGATGTCTCAAAGCGCTTCACAAAACATACTATGAAGTGAATTGACTGTATATTTTGTGGGCAAAACACAGCACCCAATTACACACAGCAGCCTCCCACAAACAGTCAAGGATTCAGTGACCAAAGTGTTCTTATTATTTGTTTATTTGTTTTGAAGGGATTATTACCCCCAGAAAAGCGATCCGCCAATCGCCTAACAACTGGGTTCCTATTTACTGCTGGGTAAACAGAGGCGTGTGGAGTAAGGAAACTTGGCCAACATTTCGCCCTGCCCGGGAATCAAACCCAGGTCTCTTGCCTGTGAGGCAAGTGCTCTAACCATTAGAAAACTTTTGATCCCCCAAACTTTTGAAACAAACCCACCCCCCCTCTCCCCGTCTCAGCATCGAGTTCTGCTATATTAGTGCTCTGAGTCGCTATAGAAATACAAGTTACTATTATTTTGGGGTCCGAGTGGCAAAGGCTGTCCCTTTTTTAAAAAAAATTCCCATAAATCCTAACCATAAATCCACATCTACAAGAAACAAAGTTGTGCAGCTCAGTGGTTCGAGCGCTCGCGAGAGGACCTGGGTTCGATTCCTGGGCCGTGCGAAATGTTGGCCAAGTTTCCTTACTCCACCTAGCAATCAGTAGGAGCCCCAGTGATTATAGCGCTACTTCAAAGGAGCTTTATAAGTGCTGACTAGCTAAACCATAAAAATCGGTCACTAACGCCACGGCTGTTTATGGGACTGCTCTCTGCGTTTCACCCAAAAAATACAGAGTCACTACACTTTACAGTATATTCTGTGAAGTGAATTGACTATATTTTGTGGATGAAACAGCAGTGTCCCACAAACAGTCATGGATTGAGTGACCAAATTTATTATTATTTACTTATATTTATTTTTAAAACGGATTATTACCCCCAGAAAAGCGACCCGCCAATCGACTAAACCCCCTGTGGCGAGCAGAGTGGCCCATTTAGGTTTGTGCTCTTTGAAATGGTGTAAGAAAAAGGCCTTCAAAGAGGGGGGGGAAAAACAAACATAATTCAGTGCTTTTGCTGATGTGTCGCAAGGGGATTGGGTGATAGAGAAAAAAGGGTTTGGTGTGTTGAAATGAGATATGTTAAAATTCGGCACCTGCCCAAAGCCGGTTTATCATGTACAATAACAACACAAACCGTCCCAAACTGCCAACACTGGCCATCGTCTACCAGTGTTAACCCCTTCAACAATCCCCAGATTCAATCAGTCACTCACTTCACAGCTGCCTGTGGGGCAATGAGGTGTGCTAATCCGACTGCTGTGTTTTGCCTAAAAAATTCAGTCACTAGACTGTATAGCATATCTTGTGAAGCACTTTGAGATACCCTCCTGACATGGAAGCCCCTATATCAAATGCAAGGATTATTAATAATAATAATTTTTACAAACAAACTGAATGAAACCCTGATGATAATTGGATCGCTCGAGAGGTTACACCCATTACACACATTTTATATATATATATACACACACATCTATAGTATATACTTTATGTAAACACAGTCATAAAAATTAACCATTTAAAATAGATTTAAATACTATCTTAATACCACTGGAAACTTTTTTTAAAAAAATTTGGACTGAAAAGTCAATTCATAATGAAAGCCTGTCCAGAAACTTTTGGTAGATTTTTTTGGAATATCTTTTGAATTATAAAACAGCGTTACTGCAGTCTCACATTTCCTGAAGCAATTTGGAAATCTCAGCCTCTGGTGTGGCCACGTTTATAGAACAAGGAACCATTATGGAATTAACTCTTTGCAACCCAAATCATATTGGGGAGGAGGGAGTGGGGAGGGCTGCCAAAGAGGGGGTTTAGTCGTGATATTTATTCACAAAATTTCAATTGACATTAATACGGCGCTTTCCGAGTCAGGAGGATGGATGTCTGGTGGGAGTTGAGTCGAGAGGGGAGTGGGGAGGAGAGAGGTGACTGAAAGCACAATCAAAGGGGTACGTTTTGAGAAGCCGGTGACCGAAGGCACGGTCGAAGGAGGGTGTTGAGACGGTTCTTGAAGGAGGCAAAGGAGGGGGCGAGGCGGAAGGGCATAAAACATCATAAAAATCCCTGCTTGAGCTTCACACTTGGTACAGAGGGCGGCGGAGGCTAGGATTATGCGGGAATACATTTTCACATTAAATGACAGGGAAGGGAACAAAGATCTTGATCTGACGGCCTGATATTTTAGGGTGTGTTTACCCTGAAGCTGTGCAGACCGCTTGGGAAATGATTCAGTAGCACACGGCTGGTGTTATCTGGATTTGTCTGTTAGCTTTGTGTGCAACCACAACACAGAGACAGGTGTGTCCCTGCCCCACATCACAGTTCATTTTCTAGCTACGGCTCTCCTCAGAACGTCAGGCTGTACCCCGGCTAGTAACACAAACACCACCTTGTTGTCCTGTCACCACAGGTTATTAGCTCATCTCTGTCCCTCTTGTCTCTCTCTGTCACTCACACTCCCTCCCTCTCTCTCTTTCTCTGCCCTCTCAACTCCGCAACCAGCCAAACAAATGTGAATTGTATATTTTCACCCACAAAATACACAGTCACTCCACTTTACAGTGTATCCTGTGAAGCGCTTTGAGATGTCTCAACGACATGATAAGTCGCTATATCAAATGCGAGGATTATTATGCTTCCACTATCCTCTCAAGCACTGCATTCAGATCGTAACAATTCTCTGGGTTAAAAAAATGTCTCCTGGCCTCCCCTCTGGTAATGGCCATCCTTTGCGCCTGGTGAAGCACTAGACACGACACAGAGACACTGTGGAGGGGTAAGAAAGGCAACAAAGCCAACGCTACAGTCCGCAGTTTGTTTGAGCAGCCGACTGGCCTTGAATTGGTCGGGGCTGCAGAGATAACCTCAATAGATTTGGAACTCCTGTTGCCAGGGTTAAGTAACCCTCAGGTTTAAACATACAAACACGCTGAGCCCAGCCAAAATGCCCAAAAGCTCCCACTAGGTACTATTTGCCACATCCAGACAGCACTGTCTGCTCTGCCTCTCGTTATCTCAATTGGAGAAAAAAGGGTAATAATAATCCAGAGTGTTCGGAAAGTGTAGTGACTGTGTATTTGTGGGCGGAACAGGCGGAAGGGACCCCGTTTAACATGGAACATCCTACAAACCAACAACAACAACTTGCATTTATATAGCGCCCTTCACGCAGGGTAGATTAATGCAGCGAGGAGTGTATTGATGTATCAGCCCTGAAAGTGAGTGCAAGTGCCCAGGTAGTTCCTGACCACAACCCTTTGATTCAAAGGCAAGAGCTCCACCAACTGAGCCAACCTGGCGACATCTCAAAGCGTTTAAGAAAATGGCTACTTTGAAGTCTTGGTGGGTTCAATCCTGCTGCCTCCACATGACTGCAAACCGTTCAGTGGTCTCGATAGAATTCTCCTTTATAGTCAACAACAAAACTGAAACCTGTCACAGCAAATCCATGAGAAACACCGCTGCAAGAAAGAGGTTTGTGCTTCAAGGACAACGAGTTGTGGTATTATTTAATTAAGAAAGGCACGATCTGATTATACACTACACATAAAATACTATAAAACATGCCAAATGGGATGTCAGCCTGAAATCCCGTCTGCTTGCTCAGGTAGACTTCAAGGATGCCATGGCACAATTCAGACAAGAAAGAGATGGTAGTTTCTCTCTCTCTCTCGATGTCCTGGCCAACAATCCCCCAGATAAAATGAGTCGCTCACTTCATAGCTCTGGATATTGCTGTGTGCATTGGGCTGCCACGTTCCCCTTACAAATTCACTGCACTACACTTTACAGTAAATTCTTCGGGACATGAAAAAGGCTTTCTATCAAATGCACAGGATATAACTATTATTATTGATAAGATTGCCTCGATAAGCCATGGTAAGCAATGACCTCTTGCAGTTAATGTCCTTGTCCATTATCTGTCCGCATTGTACAGCGAAATTGCAAGTCAAGAAAGGCTTCTTACCAGGGCAGCAATCTTCCAAATCGCGTCCATTTACTTTTGCTGATGAAAAATCCGATGGTAGGGTCTGTGATGGCGTCCCATGCTCTGCCGATGAATAGGATCAAGGAGGCAGAGGACGGGTCAAGCTGAGGTTCAGGAGGGAACGGAGATGACATCAATGAACAAAATAAAAAGCATTTAGGATTCGTTCTGTATAAAGACCAGCCCAAATGCAGATGGATTGTGTCCTCTACAAAACCCAATACCCAGAACACCTACAATTTCACCCACAAAATACACAATCAATTCATTTTACAGTATATCCCGTGAAGCGCTTTGAGACGCCTCGAAGGTGTGATAAGGCTCTATATGAAATGCAAGGATTATTATTATATTGCTGCCTCTATAAATGTTCTGTGCCATTCAATGCATTTGTTAGCTTTCAAATTTAACACCAGTTAATGAACTATTAGACAGATTAAGTTAACAGGATTGCCTTTATTGTCCTTTCATACATATTAATGAGATACACAGTCATTATAAGTACTGTAATTGCCTATTAAACTGCCTTTCCCCATTCCCCACTGACTAGGACTATTACAGTGTTACGAGACAGCCACTGTATTTTCTGATTTACTTGGTGAGGTTTGTTAGTTAGTTTATGAGTTTGTTTATTTCCCCAGTTCTAGGATAGGCTTCAATGGCACCAATCCCAAGAAAATATCTGGTCCGATATGGACACTGCAGCTTCACACCAAACCGGACGATAAATATCAAGTGTGTATATTCGACCAGCCTGATTAACCCCGCGAGTCACCACTCTCTGTTTATCTGCTTACACTGATGGTCTCCTGAACCACCACATCGCATGGCTCTGTGCAAAGAATAAATATTGGGGAATGTGGAACAGGAGAAAAAAGGAACGTGAACAGGGTCAGTATTACATAGAATTACTTAAGAGTGATTAATACAGCACAGAAACTGGCTATTCAGCTCAACTGGTCCGTATCTACTCCACACAAGACCTTACCCCTCTATTCCACTTTCCCTCACATATTCTTCACAAGTTTTCTCTTAAAAACATCACTCCTTTTTGTTTCGACTACAGCTTCTAGCAGTGAGTTCCACATTTTCACCACCCTCTGCATGAAGATGTTCCTCCTAAACTTCCCATTAGAATTACCATGGTCTGTCTTGTATTCATCCTCTCTCAGTTTGGGTTTCCCAGCTGGTGGAAACAGCCCACTAACATCCACTTTCTCAAATCCCTTCCTAATCTTACACACCTATGTAGGTGGATGCACTTCACGGGATACATCGTCAAGTGTAGTGACTGTATTTTGTAGGTAAATGGGTCAGCCAATTTGCACACAGCAATGCTGTCCCACAAACAACCTTCCAGTGAATGACTAATTTTATCTGGTGGATTATTGCTGGACAGGACACGAGGAGAAACTCGCTTCAACCAAGCAGGGATTTACATACACTCTACAAATCTGCCTTATCACATTCGTTCCTGCCCTATAATGGAAACAAGAACAGCAATCAGTGTTCCTGTATAACATGACTTACCTTTCTGATCGGCAGCAATGGGAAAGCTTGCCAGACAGCGATATCAATGGCAGGCTACGCAGTTTTAGCTGGTTAGATTCTAGCAATTACCCCAACCCACACGCTGGGTCCTCCAAGCCTCAGCTCTTGGCCAACCTGCTCCTAATACTCTCCAGAATTAGGTAAGCAGGGTGCATCCCTCCGGGGGGGGAGAGAGAGAGAGAGAGAGAGCGCATTCCATTCCAACAATCTATCTCTGGGATTTCCATGTGTAGATGGGAGGCCTGGAATTCTCAGTTTGGTTTGGATGCTCTTAAACAATGGTGATGGGTTTCCGTGTGAGTCAGACACTCGGCTGTGACCAAAACAAAGTTAATCCGCTGGCCTTACCTGGGCTACATCCAGGAGGTAAATCTGCAGGAAGAAGCCAATGGCACATCCAGTTATCTGGTAGGGAGCACCGCCTACGGCGTAACATAGCTTACTGCACACCGACAGATTCTTCTTAACTTCCCTCTGGAAAGAAAGAACCAAAGGGTTGTTATGTTAAGAATGTTACAAGACTAAGAATGTAATGGCTACAGTGGTAGATCTACAACAACAACAACTTGCATTTACACAGCGCCCTTCAGGAGGGCTGGTGTCCCGGAGCACTTGACAGTAGTGGAGTCTGCCCTGAGCCAGGGGGAAAGGGAGGGAGGGAGGGGGGAAGGGACCGTAAGCAGAAAGGATGGTCTTTAGGCAGGATTTGAAGGTGGTGTGGGGGGGAGGGAGGGGGCGGGCGAGGTGGAGGGATTGAGGGAAGGAGAGTTCCAGAGTTTTGGAGTGTTGTGGCTGAAGGCACAGCCATCGATGATGGATGGTATCAAGTCATCTCCTCGTCTCAAAGCACTTCATGAGATATACTGTAAAGTGTAGGCAAATTTGTAGGCAATTGCAGCAGCCAATTTGCACACAGCAATGATGCGCCACAAAGCTATCTCGCAGTGAATAACCAATGTTATCTGGGGGATCATTGTTGGGCAGGAGAGCAAGAGAGAAACTCCCTCCAACTGAGCAGGGAGGGGAAAAAATACGCAAACAGAGTAGACATGAGCCAGGCTCGATGAGGAAAACTGGCACTTTAAAATCACTCAACCCTGCTTCAGTCACGCAGACATCTTGAATATGATCGCTTTCCAAGGCACTGATTTATAAGAGCTCAATGCAATTTTCTCATGACTCAGAACATGCTTCGCATCAACGGGAAAGAACAGTCGTGGTAATAGGGCAGAGCTGAAGCTCAATCTCACATGTCAAACTGTTGCAAAAGGGTCAGAGTGTTTCCAACCGAGGTTCTGAGCCCAGAGATTATCACAGAATCTTACAGCGTAGAAAGAGACCGTTTGGCTCATCGTGTCTGTACCAGCTCTTTGAAAAGAGCTACTGATTAATCCCACTTCCCCGTAGCCCCGCACATTGTTCTTTTTTTTAAAGTACATATCCAATTGTTTCTTAAAAAGCCTTTTTAAAACCTACTATCGAACTTGCGTCCACCGCCCTTTCAAATAGTGCATTGCAGCCCGTGACCACTCTCTGGGTAAAAAAAAAATTCTCCTCGTCTTAAATTTATTATGAGCCGTTGCCCTAAACTCAAATTTAATCAAACCTGAAACTCAGCAGCCATATTGCAATAGTTTAAAACCAGAGAAAAAAAGTCCTACACAAACACATCCCTAACTCTCAGTCCAATGAAAGCACAGTAGTATATTAGAGGTAACATATATCTATCTATCTGGTGTGTGGGGCAGGTGTGTGGGCCGCCTGGATCAAGACAGTTTTTTAAAAAAGGACCCAGATTATAACCAACAATAATAAATGAACTAATAACAAACATCAGCACTGGATTAAAGGGCAAGTGAGAGGTTCCTGTGTCTGTTTCCCTGTGTGTCGTGTACAGCAATGTACTGAAATGAGATGGTGGGGTGGGGGTGGGGGGGGGAGTGTGACATTTTTCTGAATGGAGAGCTCTCTCTCTCTCTCTCTCACACACACTCCCTCCTTTCCTTCCTTTCGGGGGTTGATCCCAGGTCGGAAACATTGGTTCCATTTCTCCTTCTCACTGCGTCTCTCTACTCAGAAACTCCTTTCCCTTGAACTCACTTTCTCCTAATTCTCCAACTAACAATAGTAACAAATTAATATTAGCAGCAGCCAGATGTGTGTGTATATGTGTGTGTGTATATTATATATGTGTGTGTGTGTGTATATGTGTGTGTGTGTGTATATGTGTGTGTGTGTGTATATTATATATGTGTGTGTGTGTGTTGTGTGTGTATATTATATATGTGTGTGTGTGTATATATATATATCTGTGTGTGTATATTATATATGTCTGTGGGTATATATTATATATATTAGAAAACCCGGGTTTTCGTTTCCTTCTGATTAAGACTCAGTGCTATTGGGATGTTCAGCGATGTCACTGTGACTTTCAAATGACAATCACACATGTCCTTTTGTCCTTTCCTTTACCCACACAATCCGTCCTGGAAAGAAAGGTTCATTTCCCCCCCTCTCTATCCCCCCCCTCCCCCCCCTCTCTATCCCCCCCCCCCCCCCCTCTCTATCCCCCCACCCCCCTCTCTATCCCCCCTCCCCCCCCCCCCCTCTCTATCCCCCCCCCTCCCCCCCCTCTCTATCCCCCCACCCCCCTCTCTATCCCCCCACCCCCCTCTCTATCCCCCACCCCCTCTCTATCCCCCCACCCCCTCTCTATCCCCCCACCCCCTCTCTATCCCCCTCTCTATCCCCCCACCCCCCTCTCTATCCCCCACCCCCCTCTCTATCCCCCCACCCCTCTCTATCCCCCACCCCTCTCTCCCCCACCCCTCTCTATCCCCCACCCCTCTCTATCCCCCACCCTCTCTCTCCCCCACCCCCCTCTATCCCCCACCCTCTCTCTCCCCCACCCCCCTTCCCCCTCTCTCTCCCCCACCCCCCTCTCTCCCCCCCAAACACACACCACAATCCATCTCTCCCTCTCCCACAAACACACACAAAGTTTAGCTCTAAGAAACCCCCCAAAAAGTCTGATGGACCACGTTTGAGCTCTTTTTGGCCAAGTTACAGTCTCGATCTCTCTCAACTCTCACACTCACTCACTCACACTCTCACACACAGTCACACTCACTCACTCACACTCTCACACACAGTCACACTCACTCACTCACTCTCACACACAGTCACACTCACTCACTCACACTCTCACACACAGTCACACTCACTCACTCACACTCTCACACACAGTCACACTCACTCACTCACACTCTCACACACAGTCACACTCACTCACTCACACTCTCACACACAGTCACACTCACTCACTCACACTCTCACACACAGTCACACTCACTCACTCACACTCTCACACACAGTCACACTCACTCACTCTCTCACACACTCACTCACACACATAGTCACACTCACTCACACTCACACACAGTCACTCACACACACTCACTCACAGTCACACTCACTCACACTCACACACAGTCACTCTCACTCACTCACACTCACTCTCACACACAGTCACTCACCCTCTCACACCCCCCCCGGACAGTACCCCCCCCCCCCAGGACCCCCCCCGGACAGTACCCCCCCCCCCCCAGGACTCCCCCCGGACAGTACCTGTTTGAGAGGAGCGTTGTCCGCAGACGGGGCTCTGTGTAACAGACCGATTTGTCGGCAGTGGCTCTCAGCGCTGCGCTCCCCTTTGGCCATAGTGTTGGGGAGAGCGGAGTCACCGCCAAATGAATGGAGAGCACAATCCGCCTCTTCCTTCCCGTCCATCAGAGGATGACGATCAGAGGCGTGGACCTGAATTCCATTCCCTTCCCTCGACTCCACACTGAACTGCACCAGGAAACATGCCAAGCACACACATGGCACAGCACACACATGGCACACACATGGCACATACATATATAGAGATACGTTTCGCCCACAAACTCCACCGTCTCTCCACTTTACGGTGCTGCCCGTGAAGCGCTTTGAGACGTCTCAATGACGTGATTATAATAATAATAATAATCCTTGCATTTGATATAGCGCTTTTCACGTCTTCTCGACATCCCAAAGCGCTTCACAGAACACACTGTGAAGTGAATTGACTGTATATTTGTGGGCGAACGCGGCAGCCAATGGCGCACAGCAATGTCCCACAAACAGTCGTGGATTGAAAATGACCAATTTATTATTGTTTTGTTTTAATGATAGGGATTATTATTAGGGCTCTGTGTGGAGTAAGGAAACTTGCCCGAAGTTTCGCCCTCTGCCTGGAATTGAACTCAGATCTCTCACTTGCAAAGCGAGTGCTCTAACCACTGAGCTACAGGACCGCATCAAGTGCAAGGATTACTATTATTATTTTTATTATCCAAGATTACAATGTTGCCCGATATGCCTTCTGTGCATCGTTGCAATAAATAAAATGTTCCCTGTGTTTGTGCTGCCCATCCCGGCTCTCCCCACACCGGATGCGTTAAATTTTTCGGGTGTTGTTAAACAGTGAGGATTATCGCATTGCGTAAGGTGTCCCCATTCATTATAGTTAGACACTCCTGTCTCAACCGCTGTGAGATAACATATTATTTTACAATACATGAAGACAATCACTTCAAAACAATATGGACCCCGTTTACCTCCTCCCCCAAGAGATGGTTGTGATAGAGATGACATGTTCCTCATGATAGAAAACGGTCACAGGGAACCCGCTTGGTAAAGCTACAAATATCACCCCAGTATTTGCTTTCATATCAATACAATATATGATTTCATTACATCATAACCTTCAACACCGGAGATGTGATTATGGAAATCTTGGGTAGAGAATCATCGCAGTACAGTACAGGCCACACCGAACAGGCAATTAATGGAATGAGAGGGAACAGGCACAGAAGCCAGGCTGTGGTCTGGGAAAAAGATTTTGATCTGAAGCCTTTGGAGCCAGAAACAGGACAAGACAAGTATTCCCTTTGGATTGTTGTTGCTGTAGCTTCTAATCCACCTGGATGGAAGGCAGATTAACAACTAATGAACCGTTCGACGTGATCCAGATGTGTTTATTTTCCCCTTTAAAGCCAACTGCTTAATGAGACGTTCCTGATTAGCCTGACTTGCTGCGATTGTTTGAACTCTCTGCAGGTTTCTTGTTTCCATGCTGTGCTTGTGGCACTTGTGTGTTTAAGACGCTGTTTGTGGGACGCTGTTGTGCACAATTGGCTGCCCAGTTTTGCCCACAAAATGTACAGTCACACTTTATAGTATATTCTGCGAAGCGTTTTGAGACGTCTCCAACATGTGACACTGCATTTGCAGTTAAAACCTAAGCATCCCAAGCCATCTGAAGCCAAATCTTGAGAGAGCTGTGAACACTCAACGAGTCAGGCAGCATCTATGGAGAAAGGAAAGTGAGTCAACATTTCGGGTCCACGACCCTTCATCAGAACTGGGGCACATTGGGAGGGAGAGGCTTTTAAGCACAAGTGGGTGGGGGGGGGGGGGCAGCATGGCAAGGATGACAAAGAGAACAAAAAAAACAAAAGAGAGAATGAGTTAGTTGATGGGTTAAAGAGGTGATAGTGGCGTACAACAAAAGGGGAAGTTGGGTTGAAACAAAACTGTTTTGCACTATTAACACCTCTTCTCCCCAGTTTTGTTTCAACCTAACCTCCCCTTTAGTTGCACAACCTCTTTAACACATCAACTACTAACACATTATCTATTTTGTCTTGAAGTCCAATCTTATTGCTTTCAATGAACATTTTAATCTCAAATACGCATGCTGTCCAAACTGCAAGCTGTAGGTCAGGGTGAACCTGACAAACTGTCTCAACCTGACCTCAACAGATACACACAGATACACACGCAGGGGGAAATATAGGGGAGCTCGATAAGGATGTTCTGCTAATAATGCCACTGGAGTCCAGTAGTTTACTGGTTAGTCTCGCAAGCAAGAGGCTTGGGTTTAATTCCTGGGCTGGGCAAAATGTTTGACAAGTTTCCTTACTCCACACACCCCTGTTTACCGAGCAATGAGTAACAATCTGGTTGTTAGTCGCCTTGAGATGTTTCTATTATTTTGAGTATTACAGAGGCTAAGATTATTATTAGTGAAGGGCAGGGACAGGAGTTAGACTGACACTAACAAGGATTCAGTGAGGTATCGGTTGCGGTGGAGGTGGGGAGGAGAGTGAAATTAAGCAAACCAGGGGAGGAGGGGAATAGTGGTGATACGATGCTGGATGAAAATTGATTGAGAAGACGTGAAAAGCGCTATATCAAATGCAAGGATTATTATTATTATATTATTATCATACCTGGAATTTTTACACACACCAAACTTTGCATCATTCCAATCATCGCCAGACTCCGTGGCTCCATCTCGGAACAAATTGGTTTTGAAATCTTCAATCTTAAATTCAAATTCCTTCACCTCCCATCATATCCCTATCGCTCTCATCTGCTCTAATCTGATTCCTTTGCTGCCCACTTTGTTCAGTTAATGTGTACCTACTGTACATCTTGAACACCTCCATGTCACCATCACGGCTCTGGCTTAGCCACTCCTCCCCTCTCCCATGGAACTTCCTGCCCCAATCCCTCTGGCTTCTCCCCTCTTTACCCACCTTTAAATCCCACCTGGAGACCTATCTCTTCAACCAGGCCCATGGTCACCTCTTCCTCCCTTCTCCCTTATTCGGGGCTAGGAGTGCAAAACAGGTTGCCTCCTCCTGCCTCACATTTCAAGCCTGCTTGCAGACCTGTCTCATCCACCACACATTGGGTCATCTTTGGCCCTCATCTCTCTCCCCCCCTCCTCAGCTCCCCTTTCCCCCCAGCTCCCTTCCCCCCAACCCCAGCTCCCCTCCCACCCTCGCCCCCTCGGGCCCTGTGCCAGCCAGTCAGCTGTGTGAGGCTCTTCGAGATGTCCTCCTAACACGAAAGGCCGCTGTGTAAATGTAAATTGTTGTTGTTGAATAATGAAGATTCAAAGCAGGTAACTGACCCCGTGTCCCAATCAATATTCTCTCCTCATCCAAGTTCATCAGACGAGGTTGGCTAAACTGTGTGAAGCCACTTGTTTCCGATATTCCTGAAACACGTCCTTTGTCCCTGTGACAGCTGAGACCTCTTTTCTCCCAGTAAACTGGATTCCAGCTGCCAACAATGTTTCCACTTGGTTTGATTGCAAAAGCTGATTCAGTAATTTCCCAGATTGTCATCTTATTAGTGCTCTCACAATTACACAGCATCTCTGATTTACATCTATTATGTCTCCTTATTCATCTATTTTATTGGCAGAATAAAAGTTTGGGGTAGAGACTGAAATTAGAAATTGTTGTCCACTCCTAATATCCTTTTTCCCTTTTTCTCTCACGCAAATAAACTTAGAATCTAACACCAGCTCTGTGTTAATGAGTAACACAGTTCTTTGTGCTTTAAATATTAACCATTTGAGACTCAAAGGAGAAAACAAGTGAACAGATCCATAACAGACACTGGATGTGAAGTGACCTGCATTGCGCAGTCAAGAACCTACATGAAAAATAAATTTGTCCCTATTCACATGACTTTGAGTTTGATGTGTGTTTGCCTCTCACAAAGATAAATAGCAATCCATTTAGCTCTTTGATGTTATTTATTCCCCACACCATGCGCAAACAGCTTTAATGGTGATGCTTCCTCCATTCTGTTCACGCTTACAGCCACAAAAAGTTTTCTTTCATTTTTGGAGTTAAAAATAATAATAATAATCCTTGCATTTGATATAGCGCCTTATCACGTCTTCGAGACGTCTCGAAGCGCTTCACAGGATACGCTGTAAAAATTGACTGTATGATTTGTGGGCGAAACGCGGCAGTCAGTTGCGCACATCAATGTCTCACAAACATTTTTTATTTTAAAAAGCTATTACAGTAGTTGTTTCTATCAGCTTGGTGGGTAGTAGGGTCTGTATTTGCTACTCGTTTTATTATTACTTACATCTCTGTGATGGGGTGTAGGGAAAGAAGGTATAAAGCCCATATTAACTGATGGGCTAATGAGTGGTATGTTTTGCTTGACTGAACTGTGGCAATCTTCAGTGGTTTGAAGAATGTGTCTTTGGATCCGTGGCCTCCGCACTCACAATCCATTGTACACTGTCAGAGATTTCAAACTCAGACAAAGCCATTTGAATTCCAGGCCTTCTCAGTGCAAGTCTCAATAAGTCTTGCTGCTTACCTGAATAGCTGGTTAAGGATCCTCTGGAACGCAGTGTGAACAATGACATATTCTCTGGTTCAGAGCATATCTTCCACTTCATTCCACGTCATAATATTTAGCATCGACCCTTTACAGAAAACAATTGGAAAATTCCTCCTACACTAATTTATCCTGCCTTTGTGTTGTCACACAATTCAAATAAATCAGTCTTGAAGACTTGTTATATTTGTTAGTGTGTGTGTGTGTGGCTTCTATTGTGTGGAAGCCAAAGCTTTCAGTGAGTTGCCACAATAAAATGTAAATGTTTCACAAACTGCCTCTAATTAAACAATTATACAGTCAAACACAACGTGGAAGCTTTCTTTGGCTAATGATATAGCACCTAAACATCAAGCCCTGTGAAGAGCTTTGAAACATCTTGACATTATAGGCACTATATCATTAGCCAAAGAAAGTCTCCATGTTGTGTTTGATTGTATAATTGCTGTTGAGTTCAGTGATTGTGTTTTTTTAGACAAGTGCAACTGTCAATTTGCTGCACAAAGCCAAGGTTCCACGAAAAAAACACAAAGTTGTGTGACCATTTTTCTGGAGAATTGTTGGCCAGGAAACTGGGAGAAACAGA